GGCATGCGCCACCATGCCCGGCTAATTTTTTCTATATATTTTTAGTTGTCCAGTTAATTTCTTTCTATTTTTGGTAGAGACGGGCTCTCGCTCTTGCTCAGGCTGGTTTCGAATTCCTGAGCTCAAACAATCTGCCCGCCTTGGCCTCCCAGAGAGCTAGGATTACAGGTGTGAGCCACCGCGCCCGGCCTCTTTCTTCTTTTTGTTGTTGTTGTTGTTGTTGTTTGAGACAGGGTCTCACTGTGTTGCCCAGGCTGGAGTGCAGTGGTGTGATCATAGCTCACTGCAGCCTCAAACTTCTAGGCTCAAGTGATCCTCCTGCCTCAGCCTCCCGAGTAGCTGGGACTACAGGTGCACACCATCATGCTGGGCTAATTTTTTAATTTTTTGTGGAGACAGGTTTCACTATGTTGCTTAGGCTGATCTTGAACTCCTAGGCTCAAGCAATCCTCCCAAAGTTCTAGGATTATAGGTGTGAGCCTCCACACAAGTCCATGATTATCTTTCTGGTGTGGCCAGCTTTCACCCTAAGACTATCAGGTGTCACAGCTCCAACCCACAGTATAGTAACAAAGACATTCCTATCAGACATGACATAGATTACCTCCCAGAAGCCGAAGGAAAAGGCCAGGCATCTCTTTGGGTAATGGCAAGTTTTTTACTCCACTAGGACAAATATCCATTTTCAGAGACAGAGTTAAGAAGAGAATGAGTTTTTTAAACTGAGTATGAGCTATCTGCCAGGAGTTCTGTTAGCATCTTTATCTATGGCCGACACATTAAATTTTCAAATGAACTCTGAGAAATATTTTTCCTTTATTTTGCACTTGAGGAAACTGAGGCTAATATGTTGAGTAACTTTTCTGAGTGATGAAGCTAGGATTCATACCTTCCAGTGCCCTTCATCAGATACCACTCGTCAGGACGGCTTCATTGCATAACTCCAGCGGCACTGTCCACATTGTATTCTCTATGGACGGCTTTTCTTGGGATTGTGCAGTGAAGGACTTTATATCCCAGCTACCCTAAATATGATAATACATACCATCTGAATAAAATCAGTGTGCTTGCTGCATAAATGTAGCTTCCAGACAAATTCTCTGGTCTCCTCTACCACGTATACATTCTGGAGCCGTCACCCCAGATTGCCTCCCAGTACAGCAGGTTAAAAGGTCCATGAAGATACGCTCCTCAAGTATCCTTCTGGTGTATTAATGATCACCCTCTTTTGGCATGCCAAGCAGTAGTTACTTCATCTCTTCTGGGTTGATTTGAGCATCACTGAAACTCTTGCTACTGTTTTCCTTTTCAGGCTGCTGTGCAGGACAGATTGAATGAGCAAGAGGGTGTACCAAGTGTTTTCAACCCACCTCCATCCCGCCCCCTGCAGGTTAATACAGCTGACCACAGGATCTACAGCTATGTTGTCTCAAGACCACAACCAAGGGCAAGTTATTTTGTAGCTGGAATTTCCCCCTTTTTTATTTTATAAGTTCATTCGCTTGGTTATATTGATCTCTGTATGATTGGAGTAAAAGAAATATTCAGAATGTAAACCTGTCAGTTAGACCTGGCCCCTTGGGTATATATAATTTTGCCTTGATTCCTCAATGAATTGATTTAGAAACTATTCATTTTTTCTTTTTCTTTTCCTTTTTTTGAGGGGGAGGGAGTTGCTTCTATCACCACTGAATCATTTTTTCCATTTCCATTCTTTGCAAGTTATTTGGAGAGTGTTTTCTGTGCTTCGTTAAGTTAGGATCTGTTTACTTAGTTCTTTGTTGCTTTAGTTTACTTAATTTTGAGCTACTACTGAGGAAAATTAGCTTTGAAGGGTTAGTAGCAAGAAGGTGGTTCACCTAAACTCAACAGGTATTTAGGAGTGCTCTAATAACCTGTTATTTTTTATTGGAAGGACATGCAACAAAAAAAAAAGGAAAGAAAAACAAAATAACCTGGTATTTTGCTTTTGGGGATCCATACATGAATAGCCAGTCTTCCCATTTCAAATTTAATTTCTTTCAGTCTAGTTAGGGAAGTAAGATGTGTGTATTGATAGCGACCTCTAAAGAACTTCTTGGAGTTTCTGTTTCTTATCCTTGGTGTTACACTCACCTCTTACACTTGCACTTAGATTCCTAAGAAAGCATTCCCTTTAACCTTGCAGCAGTTAGAATTTACTGCATCATCATACCTTTTTGTGGAGTACTTGACATTTAAAAAATGTTTCTAAGGAGTTGTTTTGAGGTACTCTGAAATATTATATCTTCAAGGTCCTATGTCAGCCAGGGGCTCCAGAGCTGCCTGACAGAAAGGGTCTTAGGTTAACATAATATGATGTCTAAGAAACACTTTGTAAACTATAGAGCCCTGTATATATGCTAGCTTTAATAATTAACAAATAACTAGTTAAATCAATATTGTTAATAATTGGCATTATTACTAAGATTAGCAGCTATATCAGGATTTCTCATTGTGATTAATATAATCATTTATCATTTATATACAGTTGTCTAAGGATAGTAGTAGTGGTTATCTTTCCTGCTACTTCTGTATACCATATTTTGATGTCTATATCTGAACAGGAAAGAATATTTATCATTTGAGAACGTTAACTGACAGTTGAATTTGACAACTGATACAGGTGGCTGCAGAAAAAATATCAAAGCAGATTTAATACAAAAATTATGTGAAAAAAAGAAAAATGATAGTATTAAATGAAATTGATCAAGATCAAAGACAGTGGCTTTTAAGAAAGATGAGGTAGCCAGGAAGAGAGAACTGTGTTGTAGAAGAAACCAAGTGAAAGGACAAAAAAGAGTGAGAAAATTTGAACTAGCCATTTGGTAAAGTATTAAGGATTGAGGGAATTGTTTCTAACTTTGTGTTTTGAATTTTTCAGGGGCTGCTTGGATGGGGTTATTACTTGATAATGCTTCCATTCCGGTTTACCTATTATACAATACTTGATATATTTAGGTACGTACCTTTGCATTTATGTATTAGTAGCCACAGGGTAGACTTTGGAGCTGAAACTTAGACGAGAATTAATTTTTATGCTCTATCAATTTTGACTTGCCAGTTTGTCATCAGGTTGAATACTCTTCCTGAACTGTCTTTTAATATTGTATAAAAATATTTTAAATTGTTCAAGCGTTGTGGCAGGTGTTGTGAAATGGAATTGTTTTAAACTAGTCTTACTGTTGTTTGCCAGAATCAGTCTGCATACATTTATCGGTCTCCCCCGCTTCCCCCACCATGTTTGTCACCTCTACATTTTCTATTTGATCTCCACACCCTTTCCTTTCTAACCACCATTATCTCCTAGCTTCACACTCCTTAGGACTTTTTTCCTAAAACCATTACTCCTCGATCTGACTACTCACAGTTCCAACAGATTCTCTTGCTCTGTGATTACCCGCCTCCCACAATAGTCGCACCTCTCTAGACACTCCTTCTGTACCTATTCACTGCCCTGGCAGCCCCTAGGTTGCTGACACTGAAACCCTTTTGTATATACACCCACTTGCTTCATACCTTCACCTGTCTTCTAGCTTCCTTCATTTACCATTCAAAGAGCCCATCATTGGAAGCTACAGAGTGTCCAAGGCCAGAAAATGTTGAGTCAGGCCCAACTTCCTGGCACATCAGGCTTGGGGTATCTGGTCTAGAGTCACACCTAGCTTTATGGAGAGCTAAAATGTTTATGGGCATCCAGGCCAGCAGATGGAGCTATAATATGTGACTTGGGCCTTGCATTCAGGGAAACCTTACTTCCCTCCAAATATAGGACAACCTTTGCCCTGCTCTAGGGAACAGAGGCTGGAGCTGAAGACAACATAGCTGAAGTGCAAGGGTCAGATAATACCTTTTACATTGGCTTTTTATGAGACTGCCTACGTAATGGCTTCCTGGCTTTAGCAAAGTTCTTAATGGTCACCAGTTAACCTCTTGGTACTGTTTCCATCCCTGTTTTATTTAAGATGGGCATGTTGAAACCTTTAAAATCAAGATGATGGCTGAGTTGACATCTCTATTTTTCTTTAAAAACACTGATTGTCCTAAATCGTGTAAGCCATGGGAGTACATTATAATGAGAAACAAAAAAATTAAAACCTTTATCCATTCACCAGAATTTGAAAACTTAAAGAGATAATCCCCAAATACTTAATTTCTTAAAAAGTAGCCAAAACATCAGTCTTCTAAAGGATTTCTAACCGCTCCCCCATGTACACAACTTCTTACATTTTGTGTTTTTAATTTGCTCTGGAATGTTTGTGTCAATGAATTTGATTTGATTACTCGGGAGAAATTCCAAGTGGAATTGTATACACATGGGGAATTTGTTGAGGGGATAAGGAACTTGCTCAAGATTTGGTAAGGAAAGTGTCATAGTTTAGTCACCTTTTCTGTGCCGAAAATTCTTCAAGTAAATGAATATCGTTTGCTTTTCTGGGGTAAATATGCATGGCATGTGTTACTAATTTAAATGCAGCTGTATCATCCAAGCAACTTGTTTAATGTTATATAGCACATTGGCCTCTGCCTCATTGCCTTCTGTGGAAACCCAAAGGATAGATAAATGGTGCTAGACAAATATGATAGGATGGGCTCTTTAGAAACAGATGTGTGGTACCACCAGGTAATGCATCCTTAACTTTATAGTAGCTGACAGTACTCCAAATGTGCCAGCGTACTCTGGATCAGATTTATAACTTCCTCCATAGATGCCATCAGCAAAATTTACTTGTCCCTTTGAAGACCAAGTAAGTCCTGATTACAAATTCAGGTTTAAATTTCCTTTTTATAATCTGAATGGCTTGGGAGTATGAACTAAAAATTCAGAATCCCAGGAAAACAGAAAAGAGGAGAGGCAAGTAGGACAACCAGAAAGAGATCTCTGTTCTAGAGCAGCCCTGTCCAATAGAACTTTCTCTGATGACGGAAACATTGCGTATCTGCACTGTTTAATATGGAAGCCATTAAACACATATGGCTATTGAGCACTTAAAATATGGCTAGTGTGACTGAGAACTGAATTTTTAATTATATTTAATTTAATAAATTTAAATGTAGAACAGCCACATGTGACTAGTGGCTCCTGTATCAGCCAGTGCCATTCTAGAGAGCCTGGGTGCACAGCCTGACCCATGACCTTTTTGGATACTGTGTCTTCCCTTCTCAACCCTTCTGGCCCTAAATTTTTTGCAAAAACTATTCAGTATTTGTTTAGACCAGTGTTAGATTTTGTAATCCTAGTAGTTTGCATTCTTTTTGAATAGGTAGTGGACCAACACTAGCTACTTTGTGGCTTTAAGTCAGACCCTAAGGTTTGATGGTCTACTCACAGACCATTCACCTCCCTTTGTTGCCATTGTCTCTGGCTCTATTATAGGAATCTGTACAAACTGGCCCACTCCATATGCACTACAGTAAGCTGGATTCATGTGATATTTATTCCTTCCTCCCCAGGTTTGCTCTTCGTTTTATACGGCCTGACCCTCGCAGCCGGGTCACTGACCCCGTTGGGGACATTGTTTCATTTATGCACTCTTTTGAAGAGAAATATGGGAGGGCACACCCTGTCTTCTACCAGGGAACGTACAGCCAGGTCAGTGCCACAAACCATATAGATGCCAACTTACTGAAATGATTCTGTCCTCAAAGGAAATCATAGCCCAGCACTGATCATGTCATTCTTTTACTCAAAAACCTTAAATAGCTCTTCACTGCTTACAGGGAAAAAAAGACCAAATCTTTTAGCTGGGCCCTTCTTGATCTAATCCCAACCTTCTTTTGAGGTCTTTTCTAAATAACTTGTTTTCCCATACCCTAGGTTCCAGCTAAACCATTCCCTGAACATACTCTGTACTTTCCTACCCCCGTGCCTTTGCTTTTGCTGGTCCCTTCACCAGGAATGCCTTCCTCACATTTTTGCTAATTGGAATCTTGCCCATCCTTCAACCAGCTCATGTCACTTTCCTGTTACAACCATTGCTGATTGTTGTGCCCCATCCTGCCCTACCTTGCAATCTAAAATATTAATCTTTCCTTTTGTTCTTCCATGGTTTGTAAAAAAATTATAGCAGTTTCACATTCTTCCTTACATTATAGTTACTTTTGTTCGTGTCTAATCGCCTCTACCAGACCATAAGCCCCTTGAAGGTAAAACCTAAATCTTCTTTGATCTCTCACAGAATTGAATAAGGGCAAGATTTCTGTAGGTGTTAGGCATATCTGTTAGTTTGCCAGAGAAAAATGTAGAATTAACTGTGGGAATAGGCAAAAGGGTGGTTCTGTTCTGCAGCCTCCAGGATTTCTGAATCTGTCTGGAGAAAGAAAAATATTTACCCTTGCTTCCTGCTTTGATTTTCCCACATCTGCTTTTTCTCCCACCCCACTCAGCAAACACTAAGCACCTACCATATACCAGGCACTGTCCTCAGTGCTAGAGATACAGAGATGAATAAAATGAGCACATCTCATGTATATCCTCTTTACTATGATCATGAGGGTAGACCACCACTGGCCATTCAGGAAATCTCAGAGTGTAATATGCTCAGGAGTGTGCACATGCAGAAGCACACACAGGAGTCTTGGACACTAGTTTTGTCTTTGGAGATCTTTTAAGCCCTGTGTTCTTTGGAATGCCTTTGGGTCCTACAGTCCTCCATTCCGGCTTGGTTTGTCGCCTGGAATCAGGCTCATCTTCACAGTTATTTTTACTTACTAGGATGTTATAGCTGTGAAGTGGCAAAATTGTCACCTCCCTTTTTATAAGATCAGGTTCTCCTGTTTTTATCGTCCTTTAGACTGTTGGGACAGCTGACTTTTCTGTGATTTGTTGGGGACCTATACTTGTAAGCCTGTCTACTCTCATGTGCCTGGTCAATTTAAATCCTAACAACACTAAAACCTTTTCATTAAAGCGTGTTTGCATGGACTTTCTGTGGGGGGAAAAATGCCAGGGGTGTGAAGGTAGGAGCCCAGGAATTATCTGTTTACTTGCTCACCTTTTTTCCTTATTTCTCTTTTTGTTCCTAAATACATAGCTGTATCCATTAGGACCCTTAGCCTAATTGAAAGCTCGAGGCACAGTCATCATAGTAATTACTGATCTTCTGTTTCTCACAGGCACTTAATGATGCCAAGCGGGAGCTTCGCTTTCTTTTGGTTTATCTTCATGGAGATGATCACCAGGACTCTGATGAGTTTTGTCGGTAAGTAAGCCCTTCTCTTTTCTGAGCTTTTCTGCTGGCAATTTGTAGTCAGCAAGTTGTTCTCATGTTCTTTTCATCCCTTTCCACAGCAACACACTCTGTGCACCTGAAGTTATTTCACTGATAAACACTAGGATGCTCTTCTGGGCATGCTCTACAAACAAACCTGAGGGATACAGGGGTAAGTCATGTTCTCTTTGCCTCATTGAGATTGTTGGAGTATCTTTGAAATGATCTGGAAAGACATACCATGCCATTATGTGACTGTTCTTTGGTAGACATAATGCTAGTTGCTGTTTTTCATATTGTCTCATTTAATCTTCTTAGCAGTCCTGAGAGATAAGGGTTGTATTACCTCCACTTTATAGTTTAGGAATCAGGCTCAGAGTTTAAGCCACTGGCCCAAGATTACACAGTTAGCAAGTTTTGGAGTGGCATCAAGTCTAAATGGATTCTAAAGCCCATTCTTTACAGTTAACCATTGCAAGAGCCTGTTATATTTTTAAAAGTACCCAGTGCTGGCCAGCAGCTTGCCTTATCTTGATGGGCTTTTTACTGAAGAGTTTATTTTCTTCATCAGCAATTTTTTTTTTTTTTTTTTTTTTTTGAGACAGAGTCTCACTGTGTTGCCCCGGCTAGAGTGCCGTGGCATCATCTTAGCTCACAGCAACCTCAAACTCCTGGGCTCAAGCGATCTTCCTGCCTCAGCCTTCCGAGTAGCTGGGACTACAGGCATGCGCCACCATGCCCGACTATTTTTTTCTATATATTTTTAGTTGTCCAATTAATTTCTTTCTAATTTTAGTAGAGACGGGGTCTCGCTCTTGCTCAGGCTGGTTTCGAACTCCTGAGCTCAAACAATCCGCCCGCCTCGGCCTCCCAAAGAGCTAGGATTACAGGCGTGAGCCACCACGCCCGGCCAATTTTCTTCATCAGCAATTTTAATAGAGCTTCTTGGACAGTTAGTTGTTTGAGTACCTTGAGTGTTGATATGGTTGCAGAAATTCAGATCCTTGCTCACAATAAGCCTTAACTGGAGTTAAATATTTTTAGAAGTCGGTAGATCAAGGAAAATGCAGTCATTTTGCAGCTACTTCTAGCTACCAACACTGAGTGGACACTAGCATGCCAGGCACTGTGCCAGATCTTGAGAACCAAAGATGCAGCAGTTTTTTTCCCTGCATTCCAGAATCTGAATCTTTACTAATTGTTTTTAAACATGTGATGAGTTCCTGCAGCATATGTTTTGCCATTCTAATATGGCTTTTTGGAGGTGAGGGGATTGTGAATAGAATAGGAGGAGACTACGGATATTTTTTAGAGAAGTTTATAAAATCTCTCACCATAAAGAAACTCTTGTTACAGTAGAATCATGGTTATTTGGAGACCAACTTTCTAAACTCCTTTGGAGCAGAGAAACTAGCCTTTTTAGGGATAGAAGAAAAGATATATAGGGAAAGGGGGTAAGGAAGGGGTTAGGCAATAGGAAGAAAGTCAGAAGATGATGATGGCGGTCATCACCAGTAACATAAGGCTAACACTTGCAGTCTTGTCCCCTTTTAGGCTTGACTCTCATCTAGGGAAAAACTATGCTAAGCAGTAGCCACATTCTTTAAAGATCCTTTTCCTACCACTAAGTAGACATTATCCTTGAACTCTTTGACCTTCCCCAGCATCATTACAACAACCACACCTCCACCAGAAAACCCTGCCCTGTTCTAATCAAGCTCCTAGGGATAGGGACACTAATGTCTAACAAAAAGAAAAGACTTAAGAAATTAGGAAGGAAAATAGGTAGGCAGAGAGTAAATGACACCTCCCTTCTTTCTCAACCGATATTAAAACAGTTTTATCTCAGTCATTGTGAAAAGTCTAAGGGTTGATCTGTTGTATCCTCAAGTCCTGCCCTTGATCTGTTGGGTCTTTTTGTCAGTTTCTCAGGCTTTACGAGAGAACACCTATCCATTCCTGGCCATGATTATGCTGAAGGATCGGAGGATGACTGTGGTGGGACGACTAGAAGGCCTCATTCAACCTGATGACCTCATTAACCAACTGACATTTATCATGGATGCCAACCAGACTTACCTGGTGTCAGAACGCCTAGAAAGGTACGAGGGAGTTCCTTTCTGGAGCAGACAGACCAATTGTAAAATTGGAGGGCTGACCTGGGGCTCCACAAATCCTGACTTTTTTCCTGCCTGAGGCAACTTCAAAAGCTTTGCTCATTTAGTGTCAAAATATTTACATATTTTGACCTAAATTACTCTGTATCAGATCTGTTCTTAGAGATGTGAATCAAAATAAAGATAGGGCTCCATGCTAAAGAATGTATATTGTATCATTTAGAATATCTGAGCATGATATAAAGAACTTAAATATAAAAGATATGGAATAGTTATAAATGCCATTATTTATGTGCATTAATTATAGTAAATTTGAAAACCACAGCGCAAGAAAACATTAAAGATCACTCATAATCCTACCACCACTTTTAACATTCTGGTATATTTCCTTTTATACATATTCATACCTCTCTATACATATACATTTTTTGTAAAATTGGAATAATACTATTTTATAAGCCCTTTAAATGCAGTAGTATGTCACAGTCATTCCCCTCATCATTAAATATTATTCTGCCCCTTTTTAAAAATTATTGGATGGCATTCCGTTATCAAATTACACCATAATTTAACCAGGCAAAATTCCTGGAAGTATAATTTCTGGGTCAGACAATATAAATGTATTTAAGGCTTTTGATTCATTATGCCAAAATGCCCTCAAGAAAGTTATACAAACTTAAATTTTATGAGAACCTTTTAATAACATGGGAAAATGTTTGTTATAATTTAGAAAAATACAAGATAAAAACTCTGTAAATATTATATGATTTTAACCATGTAAGAAATGTATAGGAGAGGAAACTTGCTGGAGGGATGGAAATGTTCTATCTTAATTGGAGTGGTGGTGGTTACGTGGTTACTTCTATCAAAATGCATTGAATTCTACATTTAAGATTTGTGCATTTCACTGCATGTAAGTTTTATCTTAATTTTTAAAGAAAGTATAAAACAGGAATATCTTATTTCTTTAACCATTTTGATTGGCTACATATCATTCTTTGTAAGAGAAAACAAAAATTTGAGAGAAAATAGGAAATAAACCAAAGTGTTAGTGTCTTCTCTGATTTGTGGCTCTGAATAACATTATCTACAGTTTTCACATCTTCTACAATGTGTGTGTTGGTGTGTATATGTGTGGATTTTTGGTTTTATGAAAGCAACACAGGCTGCGTGCAGTGGCTCACGCCTGCAGTCCTCGCACTTTGGGAGGCCAAGGCAGGAGAATTGCTTGAGGCCAGGAGTTTGAGACCAGCCTGAGCAAGACCCTATCTCTACAGAAAAAAAAAAAATAGAAAAATAAGCCAGGTATGGTGGGATGTGGCTATAGTCCCAGCTACTTGGGAGCCTGAGGCAGAAGGATCACTTAAACCCCAGAGTTTGAGGGTACATTGAGCTATGATGATGCCACTGCACTCTAGCCCAGGTAACAGAGTGAGACCCTGTTGCAAAAAAAGAAAGAAAGACAAAAATGCAATAACCCAAAAGCGTATTTACCTGTAAAATATGATGTTGATGATCACTTCATAATAACAATACTGTTACATTTATTAGAATTTGGAAAAAAGATAAAATTTTATTTTAAGAGACAAAAGGGGAGAGGGAAGCTTGCCATTTCTTTTTCTGCCAAATTAAACTGAGAAAACAGACAGCCCATTCAGGTTCTGCCATGCTCTGCTTTTGGGATCCCTTATGGTAGTGTGAAATAGTCATTTGCCAAGATTATCAACATTTTTATTCTCTCCCGCCCAAACCCAAAATTTCAATATAAGAAAACACAGAACTTTGTGAGATTGCTGTTTTCCTTTTATGTTTTCGATCTGTTCACAGGGAAGAAAGAAACCAGACCCAGGTCCTGAGACAACAGCAAGATGAGGCCTACCTGGCCTCTCTCAGGGCTGACCAGGAAAAAGAAAGAAAGAAACGGGAGGAGCGGGAGCGTAAGCGGCGGAAGGAGGAGGAGGTGCAACAGCAAAAGCTGGCAGAGGAGAGACGGCGGCGGGTAATGAACCTTTGTCCTGGCTCCCAAACTGCTGAGACTTTGTCGTCTTGGTCTTAATAAATGTGAAAGGAAAAAACTAGATGTTGGGATTGTGGGTGATTTAAATTTTCCTTACTGTTTAAATATTCGTTCTTAGTGTTTGCCAATATGGCATTTTACTTAGGATCTTGTTTGATTATGTTTGATTATGTATTGCCACTTCTAATCTAACTGGTGTCTTTTAGCCATCCCCCCGACCCTCGCCTTTCTCTCTCTCTCTCTCTCTCTCTCACCCTCACCTAGTGTACTGCAACAGACAGTCCTTCCCCAGCCTCCCAAGTAGCTGGGACTATAGGCTTGTGCCACCACGCCCAGCTCCCATTCTCTTTTTCCTCAGATAAATACCTAAACATAGTCAATAAGTAATACATAAGATGCAATAGTATTTTGAATTAGGTTGTTTCTGACTTTTACCAAGAGGTTTTTGTTATACATTTAGTCATTAATTTTAATTTTTCTTCTGACCATACCATAAACCTACATGGTCATTGTATTTCTTGTTTCCTGTTTCCCTATTTGTACCATAGCCTCCCCTTTGTTTTGTGTCTCTACAGAATTTACAGGAGGAAAAGGAAAGGAAGTTGGAGTGCTTGCCCCCTGAGCCTTCCCCTGATGACCCTGAAAGTGTCAAGATCATTTTCAAATTACCCAATGATTCTCGAGTAGAGAGACGATTCCACTTTTCACAGTCTCTAACAGTAAGGACCACCTAAGTTGTGCGTATGTAGCATCTGGGCTGTAGATTTGGAAGCTTTTATGGACTTTTGAGAGTGTTGTTGGTGTATCTGCTGCTCTGATGAGCAGGGGAGGAACAGAAGGAGAGAGAGAGATGGGTTTGATATGAGTGGATACCAGGAAGAGTACAGTGAACTGTCGTAGGTTCATTGAGTTCCAGCTTCCAATTCAAAGCAGTTTTTAAGATTTTTTAATGATAATGTTTGAGCTCTGCTAACAAAAAAAGTCCCACAAAGATTTCTGTGTTTGGGGGTAGGAGGCTCTTCCATGCTCTCTTCTTACTTTGGCTTCATAATCCCACCAGAACTCCTGCTCTATAGAGAAAGTTCTATCTCTTGTAACCCAGAAGCACTAGAATTACACATCTGAATATAAGTACATTTGCAGTTGGGATGCAGTTGTCTCTCCCTTCTGACCCACTTAGCCCATAAGAAGCCCCACTTTTTTTTTCTCCTAAGAGACGGGATCTTGCTACATTGCCCAGGCCGGTCTTGAACTCTTAGCTTCACGCAGTCCTCCCACCTCGGCCTCCCAAGTACCTAGGATTACAGGTGTAAGCCACCACACTCAGCTTTCTGAGGCTACCTTGTATGTTCGATATCTATAAAATAAAATACTCACCATTGTGCCTGGCTTGTAGTAAGTACTGAAATGCTAATTATTATCTTTGGTATTTATAACCAACAGAAAGTTTCTGCTTATATTGAGAGTTGGTATGTTGCCTTTCCAAATTTACAGCTATATTAGATTCTACCATTTCCCTTATCACTTGAAATAACAGTAAACTTCATTATAGAAATGAGGATGCACTGTAGTCAAGTGAGGCTGGGTAGCACATTCATTGCTTCTCCTTGGTTAACTGGAGAACATTGGGCAAGTTACAGAATCTTTTATAGGGCTTCAGACTTCCTATTTGTAAAACAGAAATATACTCTGTCCTCTAATAACTTTAAACTAGAGATATGTCATGCACTGAGCTAGACACTGGAGGGATTATACATATGAGTGAGACATGGTTCTGGAATTCACAGCGCTTCCTGGCCAGTAGGGAATGTAAGACTCAAAGAACTAATAAAGAATAAAAGTATCAGGCATCCTGGTGAGAGAGAAGCAAATAGCTTCCTTGTTTTATTTCTCTTTCATTTATACATTTATTTATATTGGGGGAAGTACTCATGTCTCCAACTTCGGATTTTTTTGCGGGGGGGGCGGGGAGGACAGTCTTGCTCTGTTGCCTGGGCTAGAGTGCTGTGGCATCAGCCTAGCTCACAGCAACCTCAAACTCCTGGTCTGAAAAAATCCTCCTGTCTCAGCCTCCCAAGTAGCTGGGACTACAGGCTCATGCCACCATGCCTGGCTAATTTTTGCTGTTTTTAGTAGAGATGGGGTCTCGCTAT